GGAGATTGTGATAACTTTTTAGCAGCATTTGTTATGTAGTGAATTTAGATCAACACGCTTGACCTTCTTTTTTCATCCTTTTTCTTTCAGATACGGCATTCCTCTACAACAATGAAGCTTTGATCGGGAAGGTCCTTAAAGATTATATCGCAAGTGGAAAAGCGAAAAGAGAGGACATCTTTATAACAACGAAGGTATGATGCAATAATTCATGAGGTCTGAGCTCGTTGACATTAAGTTTAACACGCATTTCCCGCTTACGCATAAGCATGTGATGCTGCTCTTGTATAAATACATCATTCACGCATATGCATTTTTGGTCATAGAGCCAGTGAAACAAAAAATCCGAAAAGAAAGCACAATTTTATAGTAATATTTGTAAATCTTACACATAAAAGTTACTGCATTAAGAGATTGCCTTCAAAATTAGTAAAAATCATGATTATGTCTAGAATGAAACTGTTTTCTTCACTCAAGTGGCTGTGTAGGCTTGATAAGCTTTGCGTTTGCCATGCAACTATAAATGATATTGATACGTTTTCCTCCGAAATGGGACGTTACTAATGTTGCAGTTTGGACTGCTGCCATATGCTCCTTAACTCTTAAACTTAGTGTCCTACTCGTAAGAAGTGGGACGGACCTTCTAGCTGATTTCACAAAATCACCTAGCAAAAGCTATGGCTGATAAAAACAAGCAAAACAGCATTGCCACTGAGACATAAGTTTGAAGAACGAGGGTGATGACTTTGAGTTAAAATATGTATCCTGGCTAATGAGACTGAGATTTCAACAAGGAAGGTAATAGCGGCCTCGATTTCTACCAAATCCTCTTAATCGGGTCTTTCTACAATTTCAATTCCAGAACAGCAATATTAGTGATGAAGTAATTTGTGACTCTTTCCTCCCTTTTAAATTGCTACCTCCCTCTCATGAGCAGGGCCCTGACGCAAAAAGTTGTCTTAAGAGTACTCGCTGGCATTCGGGCGTATATGTAACAGGATTAATAGAAAACGTCATGAACAAGAGTAGAGCTAGAAGAGGGATAAGCTTTGAAACTAGTGCGTCTTTGTTCCAGAATAAGCATTTCCGACTTGCAACTAGGGCACTTCTCTGCTGTCACAAAGGTCGTAGGTGCCTTGATTGCTAGACCGATAGTGATGTGTCAGATTTATGCTACTCTAAGAATGATCCAGATCTTTTTCATATTAGTCGCAGCCCGCATTATCTGTCTAGGCGGTTAAGTTGTAGTG